TATTGCGTCATCTTTGGCTTTTTGCCAAATGGGGTTATTTGGTTTCTCAAATTGAACGTCTATATGAGCTCTACTAAAAATGAAAATTTTAAACCCTTTTTCATCCCAGTAGGAAGGTGGGGTCATTTAGTACAAACATTTAAAACTCAGATGGTAAGGCTGTCGCAAATCAAGTAAAATTCCATCAAGCTTACATTTCAAATATCAAATCAACGTACTCCAAAAATGGGTTGGTTGTGGTCATTGAGTGCAAAACAAAAATTGTCTTCTACGGTAAGGTTGTCGTTTATCAACTGAAAGGTCATAATGTGTACATTGCAAATATCAAATTCCTCTCCTCCAAAAATGAGTTGGATGGGGTTATTTAGTGCAAAAATAAAAGCTTAGAGGTGGTGTTGTAGCATATCAAATGAAAGTTCATCAAGTCTTAATTACAAATATAATACTCAACCGATCTCAAAAATTCAGGTGGATAGGGTCATTAAGTGCGAATAGTGAAAAGTTTCAGAAGATATGCTTGTCGCATATGAAATGAAAGGTCGTTAAGATTGTAGTACATATATCAGACTTTAAAGGGAAGACCTTTTAATTGTTTTACAAACTATTGTTGTTTTGCATTCTTTCATCAAATTTTTAGTAATTACATGTATGGTCATTATTATCATAAATATACCAAGTAACTTATTTTAAAATTCACATTAAATGATTAATTTTGGGTCTTAAAATGATCGATTGATTATGTCTTGCAAACTTTAAATCACGTATTTCCTTGGCCAAACATGTACTAAAAAACGATAGAGTATTTATACATTTATACTTTTGGAGATGACCCCCACATCATATTGTATTCATCGTCCATTCAACACTTGCGCCAACAGTAGTATCCACTTCTCTAACACGTCTATTAATAAGTTTTACTATTTTTAGCGGTCAAAATAAACATCGCGTCAACATCATAAGATATAAAACTGAAAATATATTATATTGATGAGTATAAATATCCCTTCGGTATCTTTCGCCAGTCTTTTACATAAACTCTAACATACAATCAATATTCGTAAACTTCTTCTTTGACACTCACAAGAATGATTATCAACATAGAAAGAATAAATCAAAACACATTGCGATTTTTTTTTTATATGAACAATAAATATCGCAAGCTAACAATATAAATCTTATTGGTTTTCATCCATACTACGTATCTTTAACTTTAATCCGCCTATATTTCGTGACCAATGCAATCATGCCTATTGGCACCTATATCATATATCAGCACATGAATATATTTATAAATCAAACAGGCTTAATCATAATTAATTATTCACGTACTAAGCAAAACTTTAGATGTAATAATAACTGATAAATGCGTTATAAAAAAAGTTAGAATTCAGTCCCCGAACATTATCAGAATCATATTTCTAACTTTTTGAAGATATATAGTTAACCTTTTTTAAAACTGTAGAATGTCTGAATATATATTCGAATCGTGTAGATACAATAATGTCCAATAGATAATGAATGAAAAAACAATGAAATTAGTATTCGGTAGTCACTATGATTTATTGCCAAAACTAATATATTTGTCTTACTCATTAATAAAAATAATGTTTTATTGGTTAACTTGAAAATAATTTTGAATAGTTATTTTACATTTCTATTCAAAACTTCAAAAGAATTAAGCAGCACAATTTATCTCAAAACATATTTCTTGAAGTCCTTTCATATCTAAAACTATGTTTATTGAGGAACTTTTATTTTTGAAGGATCCGGGCTGTACCATTGATGTTCGTGTAAAGTCTTATGTGTAACGTTTTAACGTTTTTGAAGTTGTTGGACACAAAAAGCAGTGATTGTTTTAAACGTTTTGCCTCCCTCACCAAATTGTAAATACATATTGAAGCGGGTTTATTGACATATATTTCAAACAATCGTTAAACCGAGCGGCATAATTCAAATATGACTGGTTTATTTATTTTTTACTAATGTTGATGCTCTGCTCTTTGTTTGAAGAATGCAACAAAAAATTAAAACTTCAATGCGTTTATCAAACTCAAATCACCGAACAGGAAAGACGTTTGTATACTTTTAATAGTAGTTAAACGTTGTCGTTACTTATAATTGTCAATATACAGATCTATAAAAATACCATTTAGAAAATTTTTAAACTAGCTGGAAGGCCTAGATTTCGAGTATTCATTTGTTTTCTATTAAAAAACGAACATTATGCATACCAAATCAACATGTAAAAATATCAATGAAAGACATTTTGAATACACATTATTTTTGCAGTCATCATTGATTGATTGATTGATTGGTTTTAAATGCCACTTAAAGCACTTATATGCTATTTCGTGGCCATAATTTTTATTTTTGGTAGAGAAAATCTACGCGTCCACAGAGAACCACCGACTTTCGACAGGAAAACTGCAATCCTGGTCAATTAAGTTTTAGGTTGAGAAGTTGAGAGCAGCTTACAACCTCATTGTTGAGAGGCTAGTAATACACTATTTCATCTACTCAGACTGCTCGACCACCAAGTTCATCATGGAAAATAGGATGATACTAATCATCTGCATGGTCTATTCAAATAACAAAGTTAAATATATTTTTTTGTTGCATTGAAATATTTTGAATCTTGAAAGCGATTTTGTTATATGTTCTACATATAACAAAATCGCTTTCAAGATTTTGTTATTTATAGAACTTATAACACAATCGCTTTCAAGATTCAAAATATTGTTATATGTTCTACATTTGCTCCACTGTACGTTAGTCAGATATAACAAGCATGTGTATACAAATACTACAGAAATATTGAAAAAGACATTCGTATGTGCTTATTGAGCCTTACTTCCTTTTAATATTGTTTAAGTTGTCTAAATAGTTCATTAATGAATCGCAAGTTGCAGCTAATTTATCAAAAAGTACCACTCGCCATGCTCTAATTTTTCGTTTTACCTTATTTCGTTAATGGGTACATTAATTATATATTGTAGCGACTAAGTTATCACGCGAGCACTATGAATCTCTCATTTTGTATTGCTTGGTTATTCGTTGCTGAATGGATACATGGAATTGCAATCATTATCGGTTCAGTCTGTTCTTGCTGCTCGGAAATAGAATCATCAAATCAGCAGGTAATCAAATGAAATCATGTTTATGCCTTAAATTACTTCTGAGAAGTTTTGGTAAATTATTGACATCACATTTTTAAAAACAATTAAGAACACACTTATTAGTCATTTTATATCATCACCAAATACATACAACTATGATGTGTAAAAGATAAGATCAACTGCTTTTCAAAATATTAGTACCAAGGTTAACAAAAAATATGTTGAACTAAAATGTCAAAAAGGACAAGATATCAAAACACAAAAAAGAGAAATTACAAACATTAACAAATAAGCACATTCATTCGTCAACACAACCGATACAATACCCACGAAAAGATAAGCAGTTTGGGTTCAGCTGAATTACTCTTCGTGTTCTGATATGGTCGTAAGGTGTAATACCACCAAATCATACGAAAAAGGATCGAAAAAAAGTATTCCCTTGAATTTGACAATTTCATTGCAGTAAAAAAAAATTGGAGTCATCAACATATATCTTGCGTGTTTCAAAGCACCATTATTTTTTTATTTTGTGTTTGTAAAAAATCTGTTTTTGAAATATGAGGTTCCATGGCTACTTAAGCTTGTAAACAGAAAGAAAGTGAGTTTGTTTGGTTAACTTCCAGTGATGGTTATTATCTTATATGCAATAAAATGTTGTTTGAAATTTTGTCTGTGGTACTGGACAGGATACAACTTTACTTTTGCCAAGTAATTCTTTATTATAAACACTGATGAATTATGCACAATTTTTTGAAAAGTGAAAATTTAACAAAGACTTATTGGGGAAAACAATGGTGGAATTACACCTAGAGGAAGTTTTTTTTTGGAGATCAGATTTAATGATAAGAGTTTGCGATAAGTCGGATTTGATTATCATTTAGAATTAGTGATCAGTGGGATTTGATGATTATCAGATTTGGTGACCAATTTAAATGGTGATCAGTCGGACCTGGTGATCAGTCAGAGTAAAAAAGTTGGATTTGATGATTAAGTAAGATTAAGAGATAATTCAGATTTGATGATCAGTCGGATTTTCTGATCAGTTTGATCTGATGATAAGAAAGATTTGGTGATAATTGAGATTTGGTGATCAATCGGATTTTGTGATTAGCTTAATTTGGTGAACATTGATGATCAGTCATACATGTATTTGATAATAAGTCGGATTTGATCATAAATCCGATTTAATGATAAGTCAGGTTTGGTGACGAGTCGAATTTGATCATAAATCCGATTTGATGATAAGTCAGATTTGGTGATGAGTCGGATTTGATGATAGATCAGATTTGATGATAAGTCGGATTTTGATGATCAATCAGATTTTGTGATAAGTCGGAGTTGATGATATGTTAGTTTTGGTGAGCAGACACGAAATATAAAAGAATGACAAGAGTGTTGCTACATAAAAAGAGTTTATTGAGTTCATTTAAGATTGAAGGTCATAAGCATGATGAGTGAAACATACAGTCTGTAGTTATTAGATATTTTAATCTTTGAACTCTTTTTCAACATTGACTTACAACTGACAATGCAGAACCCTTGGCTCCAAGCTTAAGATTGCTTTGAAGCATCAATCTCCCACCAAAACAATCTTATAGAATTCACGTATTCTGGATTTGTGTATCAAATGTGTAATCACAATCTACATGCAGGTGCTACTTGAAACCTATTAATGGAAAGATTAAACACAATCAGTTAATTTGACAAACGACGACTATCATTATCGATATACGTGTAAGTCAAATTATGAAGCAAACATTGCTGATTGGGATGAGAACTTTTTTTGTTTATAATCAGCTTTTCAATATATAGTTTTTTTTTTTAAATATTCAAAAACAATTTACTATCTACATTGGTGTTTTATTTTGTTTTGTGTCTCATAAGGATGTTATTGTTGTGAACAGCACACAACTTCAAGTGATTTCCACAGCAAATGTTGCACCAGCTATAATGACTATTGAAGAAACATTCTACCATATAGTTCAGAATTATGGACCGCCGCAGTATCAGGGGATTAAAACAAATGAACCAGAAGTGGATAACATTCAGAAATAAACAGTACACAACAAGATTGTGATACCAATGCACCATCTAACAACAGTATAGATGGTAGACATTCTAAAATACAGAGTTATTATTACGTATATACATTGACCTTCATGTCATCATAATCGCAATGCATGGATATTGCTTTTGTAAAACAAAACAAGTTATTTACAAACGAGCAGTAAAAATAGAAAAAAAAAGTTGTTTTTGTATTCTTTTTTTTTATAAAACTATATAATAATGTATTCTTAAGAGGTACAAAATGAAAGTTTTATATCATATTTACTTCCTTATAAAAGAAGAAATTATTTTTCACTTTGTACCAAAGGGATTATTATCTTATCAGATAACAATTGACTATAAATATGTTTACACTTAAATTGATCTGTAAACCTATGTGTATTTGGTTTTAGGAGGAGTAGTTCAATGGATAATTTTAGTCCCTAAGTGGTCTTTTGCTACACAAATATTAATACTGCTCTCTATAAATAAACCTATATAGGTGGCAGTCGTATCTGTTTACAAATTAACTATCGTAAAACATATCCTAAAGTTAAGACCACCATAAGATCATCTTAAGACACTCAAATATGTGTTCAAAGTGAGGACAATTCCTATTAATTTTCCTGAATTACGACATGTTTGGTTAACCAACTTAAGACTAAGATACGTTCTAAGATGATCTTAGAACATGTCTAAGCCCTCAGAGCGCTTCGATAAACATGCCCCTGGAGTTTGTTTTGCTTTAGTTATGAAGATGTTTGCCATGAGATTCATTGTTAATTTGCTTTATTACATCTTTCCACAATTGAGTTTATTGTGCTATTACAATGTCACACTCCTGTTGTTTAAACCAAGAGTTTAACCTAAAGTGTTTTTTTTCTCTCGCTAGAACTTGACAATTTAGTGAACATATTTGAAGATTTTTTGTTTTCCTTCTGATATTAAAGTATTTTCATTTTTAATCTGTTTGATTAATTAATTTAAATCGATCGGATTTTGAAAGCCAGTTCTGTCTATAGTGACCCAGAAAAACACAAGGTTATTTTAAGACCTATTAATAGGATTGTTAAAGTTAGTGTTTATTTTTAGCCTCATTACTGACTTTCCGAAAAACTCTTGTACTTGGAATACAAAATATACATGTTTTGATAAACTTCTTTCGGTATTCAAAATACCACATGCTATAACTGGAATTACTAGGACGATTTTTTTGTACTTCCAGATGATTTTGATTTTCATATACATGTACAAATGTATGACAGAAATTGTACCACGGAATTTTCTAATTAGCCAAATGCCTTTACTTGAAATGCGAGCTTCTTGAGCTATGCGTACGTGTGGGATAAGAACTTTAAAGAACGGAATAATATTGTTTTTTGGTGTTTCTCTGATGTCTTACATATGCGTGTGGCATTTGTTGTGGATTCAGCATATATTTTTAGATTGGTGATTTCAACTGATGTTTTCCGTTAATTAAAAGTTATCTGTTCGTATCATGAAGAAAATGATATCTCAAGGTTAAAACAATTACTGATAGTGTGCCTTTATAGTTGATGAAGAGTGTTTTTTTTTTTATATGCATGAATGAAAAACTTCCTGATGACTATGGGTAGTAATGATGAATTTTGTAAGCGTGGTGTTCTTACATGTCGTTATTTCAGTGATCAAATCTATAAAAAAAAATATTATTTGTTTGGGAACAATATTTTTTATCCATGCGGATTTATAATCTTTGAATTCATAATCTTTACATTTTTCATAAGCATAATCCCTATATGCAATATTTACGACATTTTTAGATAAACACATATGAAGATAATTTTGTTTTGATTGTATGCTATCTTGAATATAGACATCACGTTCATAAATTATGATTGTGTTCACTTGATGAACAGTCTATGATGGAAAGTAAACAAAGATATATATATATATATATATATATATATACAAAATACAAAATAGACAATATTAAAACATGAGGATTTATATTGATAGTAGTTATATCATATTTTAAGATTTAGTTTTTTTCCACGGGTTCAACGTTTTTATGAAGCTCATCAGTAGGAGTACATGCAGTTTGTTTATTAAAAGAGGGGCGAAAGATACAAGAGTGAATTTTAAATTCATATGTCGAAAATAAAAAGATAACGCAATGGCTAAAAAGGAAAAAGACCAAAAGACAAACAGTAGTACACAAAACACAACAAAGTATTAAGTGTCTTTTGCTCAGATGGATTTTGAAAGGCTTCTGCATTTTATTCTGTTTGTATTCTAATAGGTCATTGCGGCTGCTATTGTTATCACGTGCACATCCCTGATCTATTTCCCATTTTTTATAACTTCGTTTGGTAAAAAATCCGCGAAAATCTTGTAACCGTTTAGTGACAGCCTCCTCAGAGGAGCAAATTCACTTTACTCTGAGAGCTTGACTATAGGGGGTACTTTTTTGTACAGTGTTTGGGGTGACAGCTTTGGGGAGAAAGGTACTGATGTTTATCTGTAGGTTTACAGTAGAGGTCTGTTGATATGACACCGTCCTTTATAGATGTAGTTGTGTCTAAGAAAGATATTTTAGAGTCGGAAATTTCATATGTAAATTTAATTGACTGGTGGACGTTGTTTGCATGTCTGATGAAATCATCTAGTTTAAGTTGGGATTCAATCCATTTCATGTCAACATTATCGATGAAAGGGAACCAAGACAGAGGTTTTGATAAAGTTGTTGAAATGATTTGTTTCTCTAATTTGCCCATGAAAATATTTGCGTAAGACGGTGCCATTTTCGTCCCCATCGCTGTCCCGTTTGTCTGAAGGTAATGTTCTCTATTAAAGGTGAAATTGTTGCATTTCAGAACCAGAGTAAGCAGCTTGACTAAACATTCGGTAGGTGGTTCTAAAGTGTTGCGCGAGTCCCACATTTCCTTACACTATTGTATTCCGTCATCATGAGGTATGTTGGTATACAATGAGGTGACATCTAGAGTAACAAGGAGAGTTTCCAGAAGAAGAGGGTTCAAGGATTCCATTTTACGAAGGTAGTCTGTGGTGTCTTGAATGTGAGAAGGAAGGTTTTTTACATAAAATCTTAAATAAAAGTCTACGAATTCCGACATTTACTCAGTCGAGTGGCCGTTTGCGGATACAATGGGTCTACCCGGGTTGTTAATCTTGTGTATTTTGGGGAGAAGATACAATCGACCAGGCTTGGCGTTCTCTGGTTGTAAATATCCGAATGTATCCTCATCTATGTTACCGTCATTGTGCATGGTTTGTAATGCAGTAATAATTTTGAAACAAAACTCGGAAGTAGGGTCATGGTCAATATATATATTTATATATATGTACAAAATAGACAATATTAAAACGTGAGGATTTATATTGATAGTAACTATATCATATTTTAAAATTTAGTTGTTTGCACGGGTTCCACGTTTTCATGAAGCTCATCAGTAGAGTACATGCAGTTTGTTTGTTAAAAGATACAAGAGGGACTTTCAAACTCATATGTCGAAAATAATCAGCCAACGCCATGGTTAAAAAAGAAAAGACCAACAAACAAACAGAACATAGAATTAAGTGTTCTTTGCGCAGATGGATATTGAAAGGCTTCTGCTAGAAAACTTTCCATGCCCGGCTGATCATTATCAATATGTTTTTTGTCTTTTTGATTTTTTGCCCCTTTAGCTTTTTTCTAACTTTGGTTTAATTGTTCATAATAATTGTTCTCGGCTTGTTTGTCTACTGTATAACATTGCTGTTACTAACGTGAAGCTAAGTGTTTGTGTTTGATTTTGTGTTTCAGCCTCTTGCTTCGTTTTTAGCTTTCCATTATAACTGCTTTCAGGATGAGAAGAAATGTCTGAATCTGACTCAGATTCTAATTGACTATCTTCACTAGAAGAATCAGAGACTTCATTGCAGTATTTTGCCATTTGGCCAGATTGTCCACAAATCTGACAAACCCAATTGGGTCACATATCGCAATGTGATTCCCAGTATGACTAATTGTCAAAAGCCCATCAACTCATAACCTTTCACAAAAAAGGGTAACATGAATGTACGACACAATTACACTTCTTAAGGGCTCTCAGAATTTGACCGTCGTCCGCTGAGCGAAATATATTCTTTACTCCTTCTCGAACGTTGGAAGGACTTTCATTTTCAGCAACTTTAGCATTTCAAGCATATGTATATATTAGCTTTTTACGGAAAACAAAATCATTTTAAGGTTTTATTTCAGTCTTCATGTCAAAATATAGTATCCATAATCCTCTAATTCTTTATAAACCTTTTAAATGGCAGGGGTTCACAAGATCACAAACAGCTTTGTAAAGCTCGACATAAGTGATGTATTGGTCTTGTGTGGGCTTATACTTAATCACTTACTGGCTGATCTTTATGTAGATGGGTCTCCTCCAAAAAGCTGCTTCAAGACTTAAAAAAACATTTTGGATCTGTCTTTGTACCCGCCATATTGTAAAAAAAAACTTTCAATCAATAATGTACATCGATGTACATTGAATCACCACTAAAACCTTATTTGCGAAAGGATTATTGTCTATCCTGCTCACAATACGCTTATAAACTTAAGGAAACACTTTATCAACTATCAAAATCTTATTTTTTTAGGAGGTCTGCCTACCGTAGTTATGGAATGGGCGCGTTAAATTCGATTCGACATTGGAACTCTCTTCTTAAAAGGGGCACAAGCTACGATATATATATATATATATATAAAATATGAATTATATTGTTCAATCATTAATGAAAGTGAAGTAGTAAAATACTAATTCGCTTTTAGCAGCCAGTATGTTTCAATTTTGTCAAAATAAGCTAAAAAAAACATCGAATGTGAATAATTCGACCTCATAGAATCCGTTTTCATGTGACCTTCAATTTAACCCCTTAGCTAGAGATTGCGTACGCATGAATTATGCGTGTTCAGTTATCAAAAAGAAAAGAATGTCAACATTGAAAGTGCAACAATGGTATATCATTTGATTGACTGATTCGATCCACAATAACTCATTGTTATACAAGTAAAAACGATGATTAACATATATTTTTAGCCTCTAATATGAAATTAAGCAGAACTATAAAGATCTAATTGCACGAGTTGGCAGTCTTCAGAGGTCAACTCGATAGTTAATTAGATGGTGTCTAGACTAAAATACACACAAAATGATGATACCTATTATCGAACCCATGCCTTGTAAATTGTTTATTTCAGACTTTTTTTTTATAATTTGGATATATGTTTTAGTATGTTATAAATCAAACATAAGAATTTGAGTCAAATCGGTGAACATGAATTTGACAGCCAATGCCCCTTTAACATGCTTTTGTTTAGATTCGTTAAGCACATTGTGAAGAAATAAAACAACAGCCCAAGCTGTGTGACTATGATTTTAAAGTTTTTATTAGGGCTTTAAAATTGAATAGTTAAATGCTAGGATATTTCTAAATTTGATCTTAACAGACATACATGTTGGTATCTGAATAGTTTCTAATAGAAAGTTTCATGTAAGTAGTGTTTTTTTTTCTTTATCTCAAACGGATTTTTTTTTTATGTTGGATTGATAAACACCTGATCACGACACTATTTTCTGCCAAATGAATTTACTCTAACGTACATTTACACGTGAAGATATCTCTTTATTCTCCGCTGTCATACTTTTATATTTGCGTTTGAAGTCACGACGTCATAAGGGTTACATGACATATAAAATTAGAAATCGTAGAAAAAGATATATAACATTTTTGTTTAAGCTACTATTTTCTACCAAATGAATTTACTCTAACGTACATTCACATGTGAAGTTATTCCTATATTCTTCGCTGTCATACTTATGTATTTGTGTTTGATGTCACGACGTCATCAGTGATAAATGAAACATAAAATTAGGAATCGTAGAAAAAGATGTACAAAAGAAAAGAAAAAGAAGGAATAACTTTTTGATGAAATGTTTTATCGAAAAATACATGTATTCAGTTCGTGAAGGATGGTAGATTAAACCTGGTTTTATAGCTAGCTTAGCTTCTCAATTGTATAACACTCACAAAGAGTCTTTATAAAAATAAAATCGAGAGGCATAGGAGAAATATTTATTTTGTCATACATGCGGCAATATGATTGGTTATTTTATTGCATTTCGAATCTTTCAACTTTTAACGTACATCGCATTGAATGACTAGCAAATGCTATACACTTTACTGCAAAATACACAAAAAAAAAACCAAAAAAATGGCTGGGGTTCAGAAGATCACCAACAGCTCTGTAAATCTCGACATAAGTGAGGTATTTATCTTGTGTGGGTTAATAATTAATCACTTACTTGCTGATCTTTTGTAGATGGGTCTCCATAAAATAGCTGCTTCAAGATTTAAACAAACGTTTGGATCTGTCTTTGCACCCGCCATATTGTAAAACAAAACTTTTAATCAATAATGTACATCAATGTAAATTGCATCACCACTAAAATCTTACTAGCAAAAGGAGTATTGTCTATCCAGTACACAATACGCTCATAAACTTTAGGAAACACTTTAATATGACAGTTGCTATCCATTCGTTTGATGTCTTTGCGCTTTTGATTTTGCCATTTGATTAGGGACTTTCCGTTTTAAAGTTTCCTCGGAGTTCAGTATTTTTGTTATTTTATTTTTTTACTTATTATCAAAATCTGTTTTTTCAAGGAGATCTGCCTACCGTAGTTATGAAATGGGCGCGTTCGATTCGATTCGACATTAGAACTCTCTTCTCTAAAGGGACACAAGCTACAAGATATATAAAAAAATCAAGAGAGTTTATTT